TGATTATGACTCAAACGTTTGTCATTTTTGTCTTCTCAAGTTTTATCAAGTCAAACATTTGTTTAACCCATGCAGATAATTCATATAATGGTAAATATGTAAGAAAATCACAAAGTGAGTTAAAATAACAATCATTTAATAATCAAGTCATAAATTATTTTATATAGGATCATGTAAGGACCATAAAGCCTTAACGTTGATAGGATAGGACTCAATTAAATATATTAAAAAGTAAACATTTTTCCCACCCAAGGCTTGCCTTGTGACACTTTCTCACCAAAAAAGTTTCAAAATATCAATTATACCCAATGTTATATCTGACCAATTGTCCAATCACGGCCGATTCTGGCATCATACGACCCCACACCATATCATTCTCTTTCTCGATCAACACTCACCAAACCCTCAAACTTTGTCCCGTCAGCCTCGTCAATCAACGTAATCGACGATTGTGGGATGTATAGCCGCCCTCCCAAGTTAGATTATGACCACAGAATCCAACCTGTCATTATCAAAAGACTCATTGGTATTTCCTCTTAAAAAACCCTAACATCTTGGACCGAGTTTGCTTTCCGTTGTCACGAATTAGAAAGGTATTGGATAGTTAGCAGAATATAAACTTTGGGTAGTAAAGTATGTTTTGAAACTTTTTGGGTGGAACAGTGTTCATTAAGGCAAACCTTGGGTGGGAAAAAGTTGTTTACTCTATATTAAAAACCTTAAATACAAATACAACAAAATTACCCTAACCTCATAAACCCTATCTTATTGAATGTTTGCCATCCATGGTTGGGGCTACTCCTAACGCTACAAGTACTGTGTTTGGTGTTGTTATTGCAGGATGTACAGAAACAGAATCCTGAAATGTGAAAACAAAAACCAAAAGGTGTGCCTAGAAGAACTAGAAGACAGCTAGCAAATGGGTTAGTGGGAAGATAGCTTAAAGAGCGTTAGCATAGCACATGGAGATGGTGATTATTAAGTACCTTCTCATGTCAATCCATTTCCAAACAAGGTAGACCTGCTAGTGGTCTCCAATTTAATGTTTTTAATCTCCTACTTTTGACAGTATCACATGGGATGAGAGATCTCATATTTCTCCAATATACAATTACATCTAGAGTAGGAGAACTCCAAAGAATGTGAAATCTGAGAAACCTGCTCTCATAATATTCACAAAAACTGAGTTGGGATGATTGTTAAAACGAACCAAAGAAGAAATAAGTAGTGTGGAAGGAGAGTAAACGGAGGTTATGTTCCCATTTAAATAGCATTGTGATTTGGTAGGCCTAAAACCTGTTGTTTGGTTGACGGTTGACCAATGGAGAGGGCTGATTATTCATTATCAGAGTGCAAATTAAGCCCAGCCATGTTTATAGCTGAAGCACCCATTCTTTAATGATATAGAAGGAAGTGAAGACAAAGCTGGTCTTCTCATTTTGTGGTCCATGAATTGCCAGAAGTCTGTTCCTTAATGGAGCCCAACAAACTAGACCAAAAAACACTACAGTGTCTCCCACATCCCCTGTTTTTCAAAAAACCAATACCCCCTTCTTCTGATTATTTTCATGTGACTTAAATGTTTGTACTCAAAGTGGTCCTCTTAGGGAGGGTTTAAATTATCCAACCACTATTCGTACTCGCCTCTCCTTACTCTTCAGAACTTGAACTTTGTGTGAAAAGCTACCAAATTCTTGGTAATTTGATATGCCTAAAAACTTGCAAACATTCGGTTATAGGTGACATGATAGTAAAAGACAAAGGAGGATCTAATATGGTCTTCTGAGTTAAGTCTCAGACCCCTAATAAGGATAAACATTAGAGCTCTTATTCAACCAATAGTTTCAGGATTCTAAAAAATTGGTTGAGGCATGCGTAAGCTGACCGAACACCCATCAAGAAAATAAAGTAAAAACATTTATCTACGTGGTTTATTGATCTGATGTGTCAATATAGGTTCAACTTTATAAAAAAATATTGCACCCGTTCATGAAAACATTAAACTTTAGTGGACATTTAGACAACGCAAATGGAGGATACATATAAATCAGAGGAGTTGAAAGCGATCAGCTGGATAGGATGTTTACCACGTCCATGGTCTGCCCATGTCTAACGAAAGAGAGGGGAAGACAAAGTAATTGAATATAGAATTGGATATAAATTCAGCACCCAACTTTTTTCCAAAGCTTAAAAATTGTCATACGAGTCTACGATGGAGATTTAATGGAAGAAAGAAAAATAAATAAAAGAAAGACAGACCCATATCCCTAAGAGAAAGACAGTAATAGAAATTGGAATATATATATTTCCAAACCTTAGAATATGTTGCTTATACAGAGAACTGGTAGAAAAACTTGAGAGAAAAAGACGAAGACCAATGGACCCGTATGGTCTTGAAGAAAGCAACAAATGTAGGGCAATCCCTCCCCAATAGAGTTAGAACCTGCATGCCTTTATGCACAGTGACTTCCAAAACACCTAGGTCTGTTAACTGTCCAACACCCACATGATTTTGTTTTATTTCTCTAACACTTTTCTTCAGTTTTCTTCTTCTGCTCTCAATAAATACCCGCTCAAACCCTTGTTTCATTTCCCCACCCCTTCACTTTCTTTCTTCTCTTACCTCACGAAAACTTCAACTTCAACACTAACAATGCCTGACAGAAATCCAAGAAGCTCCCTCAAGCAGCTGCTCTCAAACAGATTCTCAAAAGATGCTCAAGCTTTGGGAAGAAAAACAACGTCCAGATGAGCCAGAAGGTCTACCTGATGATGTACCAAAAGGTCACCTTGCTGTGTATGGGGTGAAAACAGGAGCAGACACATCATCCAATCTCAATGTGTCTCACCTGAGTTTAAAGTTTTACTTAAAAATGCAGAAGAGGAATACGGGTTTAAGCATGAGATGGGTCTTACCCTACCTTGTGATGAGTGTTTTTTCCTCAACTTAGCTGCCATCATCGGTGAATAATCTTTGCTAATGGTAGCTAAGGTAGAGGTAGTTGGGAGTAAGTTACTACTAGGATTTCTTTGGAATAATTTCCAGTTGAAGGCGTAAATCATCTAGCTATAACCATGACTTGTATATTAACATATTGTAATCTTCTTCGTTTTTAGATGTTCTATCTTATGTTATAGTTTGCTTGTACTATGTAGTTCCTGTTCAACTACTCCCTGCAATTTAATTACAGTCCTTTTTATCAAAAAGAGATGAAAAGAGAAAGAAAAAAAGTGGTGAAATAGTAATGACACAGACAGTACGTAACTGATGCAACATACATATGTTAACTTTATCATCTACGGCAAACATAATTGCATGCCTAATAAAGTACCAAGTAAGCTTTTCCGTAGGCTGGTAGAAGTCCTGGAAACACCAGTGAAATTTTACTAGTCTCTTACTCTTAGTAAATCGATGGCTCGGGATGTGTTTGTTCTACTTAGGTGAATTGATAGCCTGTGCACCAGCTACAGAGCAACCAATACCAGAGGAGAGAACTCCCTTTTGATTCTCAAATCAATTTACCCTCCCCTCCCTTCTTGTCACTTTTATCAATGCCAATTTATAATACCGGTCCTAAACATCGATCAGATAAGACTTCAAGTGATTATCTATTAACAATTGAAGAATAATCAACTTCAAAACCTTTGGATAATACATCTAAGAGTCTTTATCAAATCACTCGACCACTAAAAAATAATTAAAATTTTGGTCAATTAACTAGCTCTATGCAACGGAAGTTTTATTGATATTTGATATGCGAAATAAAGTTGACTTTTGATAAGATATTGGCTTGATGTATTAACAAGCATGCTTTTAATTCATAAAATTAAATTATCAACCTTCATTAATCAGTATTGTGAATTGATGCACATGGCATGGCAGTGGGACTGTCCAGCTGGTAGGGTTTTTTGGGGAAGATCTCTCTTGTCCCTATCATTTTTAGCTCTCTTCACTCTGCATTTTCATAACCTAATCTCAGTTATAACGCCTTTCTTATGTTCAATGGGATACATACAGCTTGTATTCATCAATTAAGGTAATAAACCATTACTTGGAACGAGTCACATGTTCGTGTTAGAAAATTAGACAGGATATGTAATTCTATATCGAATCTCTATATCCCACAACAAATTGTCTGCAATTGCATCTCATCTTTAATCCTTTAAAGTCCACGTTAAAAAACTTAGATTAACTACCTCTAAATGGTCGAGTGGTTCGATAGAGACTCTTAGGATATTATCAGAGATTCTGAGTTTGAGTCCCTCCTCGATTGCTAATTGGGGTAGCCACTAAAGCTTACCGACCGATAGTTTAAGGTCTTGAAGGATTAGTTGAAGTGCGTGTAAACACGGACACCCTCTGTCATTTAAAAAAAAAAAAAAAAAAACTCTAGATTGAAAATGGACTACGAGAGTCAGGTCAGGGAGCATGGCCCAGGATATAAAATAGGTTAATTGATTTTATGATTTCATTAATAATTGATCAATCATTGAATTAAGTCAGTTCTTGGTTTGATTGGCCCCTTCATTGCTTATCTCAACAAATTGTTCAATTATGAAACAGATAGATAACAATTACAGTTAGGAAGTGGTCAGGTCGATCAAACTGTAGGGCAGCCTCTCACCTGATTTCTGTCTAAATTCTGTTTCAGTTCTTCCAACTCTCTCGCTTAACTTCAGGATCTCTCCATGCCACCCAACTGGGCAAATGAGTCAGAAAATCACAAATGTCTGCCAGACAAAGACTGCACTAATTATGCCTATAGTTGAGTGTCGGCTTCCCCCATATTGATTTGAACTTGGAGGAATTTATGTATTTTGAACATAGTTTTGTTCTAGATTTGCAAGTGATATAGGCTAATCTGACACTTTAACCTACCATATCGTCACAGTGACACCAGGACCAGATAATACAATCTTCAAAGTCTAGAAAATGCAAGTTCATTCAGGTTCTTCCATTTTTTTTTTTTTTTAATTTATATTGAGGGACTTAAGATGTACATTGTAAAGCATACAAAGACTAAAATGTGGGAGTTATTTCATCTTTAAAAGTCATATCTAGGTAGAAGCCCATATTTTGATTTTCTCATTTTACACATTGGGGTTGCAAACATCTTGTGCCTATAGCTTTCTCTGTGGTTTACAGTCTGTTAATATTTGTAGTTTCACCTGATAGCTACTATGTATATTGTTTTGTTACTTTTTTGCGAAGAGGATTTATCCTTTTTGTATCTTTTTGATGCTTTAGTCTTGATTGCTAATAATTTTGTATTAAGTTAGAATTTGATTTGTCATATTAATTATGTGGAATATAGGAAAGTGAATGGCATCTGAGGAAGATGTGGAATTCTCAAATATGAGGTCTCTGCTAACAGGAACTCATGAAATGCGGAACCAGGAGACAGAACGATTGCCATCAACAGAGGAGATATTTGAGAGGAACCTTATGAAGTTAAAGGAATGTATAGTGGGTTCTGATGGAGATACAGAGAAGGAATTAGAAGTTCTTTGGCGACGGGTAAAAACTACTGCAAAGCTATTGGCTTTCTTGAAATCAAAAGCAAGAATCATGGCTATCCCTGATTTAGCCCATACATCATGTGGCATCAAACAATTAGAAGGGGTTGGTCTTGTTGACAAAAATGGTACCCCTTTATCTGGTTGGTCTAGGAATGTTGATCTTTCTTCATTTGACGGTCCTGACGAAGAGACATGGATTGGAATTGGTAAGCAGCAAGGTTCTATCGATGAACATGATGGAGCTTATACTGTTGAACTACTCAAGTCTGTTCAGATGGTCACAGATGTTATGGAAGCTCTTGTTAAGAGAGTTATAATGGCAGAAACTGAAACTGCCCTTGAAAAAGAGAAGGTAACTTTAGGTCAGGAAGAAATTAGGAAGAAGGCTATCCAAATTGAGAACATGTCTTTAAAGTTGGAGGAGATGGAGCATTTTGCTCTAGGTACAAATGGTGTTCTGAATGACATGCGGCAGAGAGTTGAGGATCTGGTTGAAGAGACATCTAGACAGAGGCAACGGGCTGCAGAAAATGAACAGGAGCTTTGTCGTGTGAAACAGGAATTTGAGTCTCTGAAATCTTTTGTTGGTACGCTTATCAGCGTGAGGGAAACACTTCTTTCATCAGAGAAGCAATTTCAAACTATTGAGAGGCTTTTTGAACGGTCAGTATGCTTTAAAATGCTTGACTTTACTTTTTCTTTGTTGTTGAGTATTTGCTCGATGTTGTCAAGCATTTGCCTTCCACTATCCTTTTGAGTGAAGCATGGTTAAATCATTCATGTTTATGTGGCGTAAAATTGTTGTATAAACTGGTTCCTTCGGAAGTTTTCTACCCCCCACCCCCAACTAAAGAAAAAAGAAAAGCTTTTATATGGGAAAAAACGTTTGACATTTTTATAATGGTGGTCTCCATGTTCAACTCTTGTTTGTGTACAACTCTAATAAGCAACATACTGTCTTTTTGGTTGGGAATTTTTCATAGAGTTTACCATGTAATTCTGTTGTGAAGCAGGCTAGTTGCTAAGACATCACAATTGGAGGGTGAGAAGATGCAAAAGGAGGCTGAAGTTCAGAAACTTATGGAAGATAATCTGAGGTTAACTGTCCTTCTTGACAAGAAGGAAGCTCAACTTTTGGCCATGAATGAGCAATGCAAAGTAATGGCCTTGAGTTCCTCAAACATTTAATCTGGTTGGCTTGTATTGTACTAATGCTTGTTGGCATGGTATGAAAGATTGGATCACAAAATTTGTCTTGCATCCATGCTTGAAAACGTAAAATTATAAAGAGGTCGTTGACTTGTTATGAGCTGCCGCTCTTGTTGTTAATGTTGGAAAACTGAATCCAGGAAATATGAATCTAAAGTGTGCCATTAGAATGATAATTGGTGTCTGAGTTAAATAGTTAGTAGGGTTTCATGCATATTTGGTGTAGTTTGTTGGGAAATATGGGTTTCCTGGTAGATTTCTTGGTCTGATTCTTTATAGGCATTAATTAATTGAGCATTTTTTGCACGCCCGTTTCAGATGGTCTCTTGGGATCTAAATTTACAATTTTTTATTTCATTTATGTAAAGTCTGAAATTGCTATTATTTATAGGAAAAGATGATCTTCAAATAATTCATTTGCAAATTAAAATTTTAATATATTTTTTTTTTATCGGGAATGTAGATATAATAATATAGGTGTTAACAATAGTTTTTCTTAGGGGTAGGTCCGGGTATCTACCCAAATCCCATGGAACAGGATTCGGTTGGGTCCGGTTTCTAAAAGCTTGGAACTGGAACTTGTAACATAGGCACCATTTTCGGATACCTGGGAAAAATCACAATTATCCTCTATTGTTTATAAAGAATGACAAATACACCTTTAAAAGTTTACAAAAATTACAGTTTAGCCCCGGTTTTTACTCGGGTCTTGATTCCAGTTTCGATTCTGGTTTTTGTAGTGGTGGAATTGGTACTGAAACCGCACAATATCAGTTCTAATTTTTTAGAATCGGAATCAACCATGTGAGGGTCGATTATAGGTAAGAATCGAAACCAAAACCTCAGGTACCCGTTGGTTCTGGTTCTATCTTAATTTTTTGCCCACCCCTAGTTTTCCTAATACAAATAACTTAATAATTTTCTTTTTCTTGGTCATATTACATTGTCCTTGAAGGACCACTTTTAACGTTGTGAAATTGCTCAATTCATCTTTATACATTAATTTTATGAGTAAACGACTTTTTTTCACTTAAGGTTTGTCTTAGTGATACTTTCTTTTCCAAAAGGTTTTAAAATACAATTTTATTATCTAAATGTTATGTTTTGTTAATAATTTCGTTGATCTTGAGGTGGTATTAGTGATGGAGGTGGAGCAAGAGGAGGAGTTGGTGGTAGTTCTGGGATAGAAGCTAAGAAGAGAAGAGAAGAAGAAGACCGAAAGGTATTTAGGTCTTCATAATGAATATAACTGTATATAACAGAAATTATTAATAAAATATAATATTGGAGTAATAAAGTACTTCCTGTGTTTTTTTTTTTTTTTTTTAAAGTCATTTTAAGGTTGTAAACCACTTTTAATAAAAAAAATTCTTCTCTCTCCCACCCAATATTTTTAATTAGTCTCCACCAATCAAAGGAAAAATGAAGAAAGAAGACAGACGAAAAGTGGAGAAGGAAGACAGATAAGACAAGCAACGACATTTAATTTGGAAAAAAATTATACACTTAAAGCGACTTAAAAAAAAAAAAAAAAAAAAAGGGGAGTAATATTTTAAAACTTTTTAAATAAAAAAGTCATTAAGACAAACCTTGGTGGGAAAAAGGCGTGAGTGGAATTATTGAAACAAATATACCTTCAAAACAATAAAAATTAAATTACGGACCCACTTCTGACCATATATTAGTATTTAGCAGTATAACCTAAAAACATTAAATATTATCCTAATCTAAAACCCTAACCCCCAAATTTCAAGTCACAAATGGACTGAGATCACCTTAAACAATTTCCACAAGAATGCAAGGGGAAAACCACCCGGACCCTCAGGATAGTGTCTCTGCCGCTAAGCCTCAGCACCTCAATTTCATTAACATCACTGACGATAGCGAGAACAAGGTATTCTCTTATTTGTTTCTTTACTTCTATTTCGTACCTAATTTTGAGGGTTTTGCATATTGATATGTCAAACGCTAGGGTTTAGACGTTGAATTATCATATTCTTCAAGCACTTTTACGTCTTAAATCCAATTAAACGTTTTAAGTTCTGTTGTCGTTTCTTTCCGTTTGATTTTCTTGAATTTTTGAAGCGAGGATCGGTAAGTTTTAAATATTATAAGTTGTAATATGTACATTTAGTCAGAGAGCTTGTGGTTTCGTTTTTTGAGGTATTGATCATATTATTGTGCTTATTTTAACTTGGTTTTTGTTGCTGATTTAGGGTACAATCAAGAGGCATAAAGATATCGAATTAAGTGTTCCAATTGTTTATGGAACGATGGCATTTTATCTTGGTCGAAAAGCCAGTGAGTGAGTACTTTTGTCTCACGGTATTTGTACATGCCTGCTATATGTTTGAATAATGTTACACATGTATGCTCCATCATTTAGGTCTCAGTCTCATAAGTGGACTGTTTACGTACGTGGGGCAACAAATGAGGATCTTGGAGTTGTGATTAATCGAGTAGTTTTCCAGTTGCATCCAAGTTTCAATAACCCTACAAGAGTGGTTGAATCACCTCCATTTGAATTAACAGAATGTGGTTGGGGTGAATTTGAAATTGGCATCACCCTTTTCTTCCACAGTGATGTTTGTGATAAGCAGCTGGATCTGTGAGTAGTTGTTTGTTTGTTACTGCCTTGGTTTACTCAACAAGGCAGCCTAATCACTGGTGGGTTCAATTTTCACAGGTTTCACCATCTGAAGTTGTATCCTGAATCTGAATCCGGTCCCCAGACAACCAAAAAACCTGTTGTTGTGGAAACTTATAATGAGATTGTTTTCCCTGAACCTTCTGAGGGTTTCTTTGCTCGTGTGTTTGATCATCCTGCCGTAATCGTGCCTCGACTGCCAGCTGGTTTTCGCATGCCTACTATCAGTAAAGTTCCTTACTTTTTTTTTTTCCCTCAGATTTTTGCCCATTATGATATCTATGAGGTTATCTTTGGTGTTTAAATTTCTGCAGCACCACTTTATATTATGAATGAGCAGGGGAAAGGTGAAACCAAGAATCATCCTCTTAGCCAGTGGTACCTGAATTTCTCCGAGGCAGATGAGCTTTTGAAACTTGCCGCAGCTCGTCAGCAGGTTAGATGGCTTTGTTTGATTTTTGTTTGGCTAATTTACTTGACTGAACTCTTCAGAGTTGTTGATTATATTTATTATGGCAGTCATACTAGTTATTGCCAATGTGTGCTGTTTGTCTTTTTAATGAGATTTGAAATAGTATCTACTTTTGATAAGAAAATGGTATCTATAAAACTATGAGTTACCTATCATCTATGACTGTTGGCAGTTATTGTAAATTGATAACTTCTGTTGTTTAGTATTGTCACTGTCATTTACCATCTTGGTCTCATGGTTCCTCCCTACCTCATCATAGTGGTTATTAATTGGATTATTCTGGAGGCTATAAGCATTGATTCACCTTACTGATGTTTTGTGGTATTTCTGCTTTATTTTGCACACTTGATTTAAAATTTGATGGACAGATAATGCTTGTTGAACCATATAGGGAAATATCATCTGATGATTCATGCATGCAATTTTCTAGGTGCAAGCTCATATTGTTAAGCTGAGAAGACAATTGAGTTTGATGAGTGGGCTGCCCGAATCATCAAACCCGTCATCTGGATATGAATGTATATAATAATGTTAGAATACACTCGACTTATCTAATCAAGTGCAAGTCTTGGATGACAGGTTATAAGATGTAAACAAGTAGATTAGTTCAGTTCTAAGAACCTTTTTAGTGTCATCTTGTTGTATTATAAATGTGTTTTTCTGTAAGATCTAAGTTATCGAAGTTCAGCGATGTGATTATAATTGATGTTTATGGAGTATTTTGGTTAGAAAAAAAAAAAGATATATTTGTATTTTCTTCTTGGTTTGTTTGTGCAACCGCAGAGAGAACTTAAAGAATTTTCGTGATTTACTTCCGTCCGAGAGAAAGTACCTGACCTGACTTGGTTATATCACTTCTAGCAATACGAAATCGTGGATAGTTGACTAGTATGCATACAAAGGGGGCGACATTCAAGATATTTGATCTAGGGTTTGAGTTAAGAAGCATGTTCCTGAAAGAAAGGGATCATGATCCCTTTGGTGATTGAGAGAAGTTGACATGCTCTAGGTTCGAACTTTCCCATTTTATCCTAAACTCTATCTCCATTGACAACTTCAGCGCACCTGTAGGGCTAATGGTGAAGAATCTTTGTCGTTTGACTATTTAGACTAATTGCCGACAATGAAAGAGGACTGAATCTGCTGGAAATGAATGCACTCTTAGTGATGGATTTATTATTCCTATCAGTTAATTTCATATTTTAAGTATTTCGTGTCAAAAACTAAACACCATCCTTGGTACAGATTGATAGCCAACAAATACATTGTACCTACAACTTTTCCCCACGTGTTTTTCAAATAACCAAAATGATAGCCAGAATGGATTTGAGGAAGATAAGGTCATGAAAGAACAAACATAAAGTTGCAGGTAGATGATTATAGATTGTCAGATGGGAAGTTGCAGGCAGCAGTGGTGATGTTCTTTGTATTTTGCAAGGTTTTAAAACCCGGCAAAGTGGTTGGGTCCCATGTTGGCCAGTTGAACCGGTTTGACTGGCGGGTCAAACCAGTGATGCTAGCATGTAAAAAAGTTTGAAATTCAACAAAAACACCTCTAAAAATAACACATATGTTCATACAGATTTAAAATCTTGCAAAAACATCCAAAATTACGTCGTCGCTGTTGACAACCCATGTCAAATAAGGCCTATTTTCAGCATTGAAAACACACCCCATAACCACGAAAACTCTCTCTTAAGCCTCTTGACTAAAACCTATCTCACCTTACTGCCGTTTATCTCGCTAATTGTTGTCGTTGATTTATTTTTACGATTTTCGGTCGTTTCACTCATCAGAAATGAGCTCTATCGCCACCTTTCGACTCATTGGCCCTTCCTCTTAAAAAATCACAACATTCCAGCCACCAATCGTTTGTTGATCATTGTCCTAATTTCTAGGGTTTGAGATAAATAGTAAAATTGCTAACTCATTCAGTGAAAGCCTTGAGTCTTGGTTCAATCAATTGGACCGGGCTAAGTTTTAAAACACTAGTATTTTGATGACAAAAGAAACATGGGCTTCACATGCTTAGTATCATTGGACTCGGGTGGTTGTTGTTGCCTTCCGGTGACAATGATGTGATATCCTCTAGTTTTATCCTTGATATTCCAGACTCAATTTGATTCACAGGACATGGGAAGCCGCCATTGCCCATGGCCCAAACGTGGCTTCCATTTTGGCTTAGGAATTTTGATAGAGTTGGCGTTGGTCTTGGTGCTTGGTATCAGTAATATTCAAGGTTTATGTTACCAAGTTCACGCAGACAGACCCACTCAAATTCAGAACATTTCAACCCATTTAGGAAAACAACAAAAGAAGTTGACTGACTGTTGATTATGACTCAAACCAGTTTGTCATTTTTATGTCTTCTCCAAGTTCTATCAAGTCAAACAATTTGTTTAACACCATACAGATAATTCATATAATGGTAAATATGTAAGAAAATCCACAAAGTGAGTTACAAATAATCAATTCATTTAATTAATCAAGTCATCAATTATTATTATAGGATTATGTAAGGACCATAAAGCCTTAACGTTGATAGGACTCAATTATTACATATATTAACAGAGTAAACAATTTTTCCCACCCAAGGTTTGCCTTAGTGACACTTTCTCACCAAAAAAGTTTCAAAATATCAATTTATTATTCAAATTTTATATTCTCTACCAATCATCGGCCGATTCTGGCATCATTACGACCCCACACCACTGTCATTCTCTTCCTCGATCAACACTCACCAGAAGCCTCAAACCTTGCTCTCGTCAACCTCGTCAATCATCGACAATCGATCGATTTGTGGAATGTACAGCTGTCGCTCCCAAGTTAGATTCTGACTACCAGAATCCAACCTGTCACTATCAAAAAACTAATTGGTATCTCCTCTTCAAAAACCCTAACATCTTGGACCGAGTTTGCTCTCCGTTCGTCATCGAATTAGAAAGCGTATTCTAGATAGTTTGCAAAATATAAACTTTGAGTAGTAAATTAGTATTTTGAAACTTTTTGGGTAGATTAGTGTCATTAAGGCAAACCTTGGGTGGGAAAAAGTCGTTTACTCTATATTAAAAACCTTTAAATACAAATACAACTAAAATTAAGCCTAAACCCTATCTTATTGAATGTTTGCCATCCATGGTTGGGTCTACTCCTAACGCTACAAGTACTGTGCTTGGTGTTGTTATTGCAGGATGTACAGAGACAGAATCGTGAAATGTGAAAACAAAAACCAAAAGGTTGTGCCTAGAAGAACTAGAAGACAGCTAGCAAAATGGGTTAGTGGGAAGATCAGCTTTAAAGAGCGTTAGCAGTAGCACATGGAGATGGTGATTATTAAGTACCTTCTCATGTCAATCCATATTCCAAACAAGGGTAGACCTGCTAGTGGTCTCCAATTTAATGTCTTTTACTCTCCTACTTTTGACAGTATCAAATGGGATGAGAGATCTCATATTTCTCCACTATACAATTACATCTAGAGTAGGAGAATTCCCAAATAGAATGTGAAATCTGGAAAACTCTGCTCTCATAATATTCAACAAAAACTGAGTTGGGATGATTGTAAAACGAACCAAAGAAGAAAATAAGTAGTGTGGAACGAGAGTAAACGGAGGTTATGTTCCCATTTAAATAGCATTGTGATTTGGTAGGCCAAAGACCTGTTTTTTGGTTGATGGTTGACCAATGGAGAGGGCTGATTATCTCATTATCAGAGTGCAAATTAAGCCCAGCCATGTTTATAGCTGAAGCCACCATTCTTTAATGTGAGACAAAAGCTGGTCTTCTTCATTTTGTGGTCCATGAATTGCCAGAAGTCTGTTCCTTGATGGAGCCCAAACAAACTAGACCAAAAAACAACTACAGTTTCCCCACATCCCCTGTTTTTCAAACAACCAATACCCCCTTCTTCTGATTTCCTCATTTATGTGAATTAAATGTTTGTACTCAAAGTGGTCCTCTTAGGGAGGGTTTAAATTATCCAACCACTATTCGTACTCGCCTCTCCTTACCCTTCAGAACTTGAAATTTGTGTGAAAAGCTACCAAATTCTTGGTAATTTGATATGCCTAAAAACTTGCAAACATTCCCTTACGGTAATCACTATTGGGTGACGTGATAGTAAAAGAGTAAAGGAGAATCTAATATAGTCTTGTGAGTTTGAGTCCCTATGACTCCTAATAAGGATAGCCACTAGAGCTCTTACTTATCCAATAATTTTAGGATCCTGAAGAATTAGTTGACGTACACATAAAAAAAAAAAAAAAACATTTATCTATCGTGGTTTATTGATATGATGTGTTCAATATAGGTTCAACTTTATAAAGAAATATTGCACCCGTTCATAAAAACATTAAACTTTAGTGGACATTTAGACAACGCAAAATGGTGGATACATGTAAATCAGAGGAGTTGAAAGCGATAAGCTGGATGGGATGTTTACCATGTCCACTGGTCTGCACATGTCTAACGAAAGAGAGGGGAAGACACAAAGTAATTGAATATAGGAATTGGAATATAAATACTCAGCACCCAACTTTTTTCCAAAGCTTAAAATATGGTCTACTACGAGTCTACGACTGGAGATTTAATGGAAGGAAGAAAACTAAATAAAAGAAAGACAGACCCCATATCCCTAAGAGAAAGACAGTAATAGAAATTGGAATATATATAATTTCCAAACCTTAGAATATGTTTGCCTTTATACAGAGAACTGGTAGAAAAACTTGAGAGAAAAAGACGAAGACCAATGGACCCGTATGGTCTTTGAAGAAAGCAACAAATGTAGGGCAATCCCTCCCCCCAATAGAGTTAGAACCTGCATGCCTTTATGCACAGTGACTTCCAAAACACCTTTGGTCTGTTCACTGTCCCCACACCCCACATGATTTTGTTTTATTTCTCTAACACTTTTCTTCAGTTCTTCTTCTTCTGCTGTCAATAAATACCCTCTCAAACCCTTGTTTCATTTCCCCCACCCCTTCACTCTTCTTTCTTCTCTTACCTCACGAAAACTTCAACTTCAACACTTACAATGCTTGGCAAGAAATCCAAGAAGCTCCCTCAAGCAGCTGCTCTCAAACAGATTCTCAAAAGATGCTCAAGCTTTGGGAAGAAAAACAACGTCCGTAATGAGCCAGAAGGTCTACCTGTTGATGTACCAAAAGGTCACCTTGCTGTGTATGTTGGTGAAAACAGGAGCAGACACATCATTCCAATCTCAATGTTGTCTCACCCTGAGTTTAAAGTTTTACTTAAAAATGCAGAAGAGGAATACGGGTTTAAGCATGAGATGGGTCTTACCCTACCTTGTGATGAGGTTTTTTTCCTCAACTTAGTAGCCATCATCCGGTGAATAATCTTGCTAATGGTAGCTAAGGTACAGGTAGTTGGGAGTAAGTTACTACTAGGATTTCTTTGGAAAATAATTTCCAGTTGAAGGCGTAAATCATCTAGCTATAACCATGACTTGTATATTAACATATTGTAATCTTCTTTGTTTTTGGATGTTCTATCTTATGTTATAGTTTGCTTGTACTATGTAGTTCATGTTCAACTACTCCCTGCTTGGTTAGAAACCGGTTATTTTACAGCAATTTAATTAGTACTTTTTATCAAAAAAGAGATGAAAAGAGAAAGAAAAAAAGTGGTGAAATAGTAACTGACACAGACAGTACTGTAACTGATGCAGCATAACATTATTAACTTTATCATCTACGGCAAACTTCATTGCATGCCTAATAAAGTACCATGTACGCTCTTCCGTAGGCTGGTAGAAGTCCTGGAAAATCACCAGTGAAATTTTACTAGTCTCTTAGTAAATCGATGGCTCGGGATGTGTTTGTTTCTCTTCCTTAGATTAATTCTGATAGCCTGTGCACCAGCTACAGAGCAACCAATACGAGAACTCCCTTTTGATTCTCAAATCAATTTACCCTCCCCTCCCTTCTTGTCACTTCTTATCAATGCCAATTTATAATACCGGTCCTAAAACTATCGATCAGATAAGACTTCAAGTGATTATCTTATTAACAAAGAAATACTCAAATTCAAAACCTCATAGATAATATATTCAAAAGTCTCTATTAAATCACTCGACCACTAAAAAATACTTAACATTTTGGTCAGTTAACTAGTTATGTGTCAACGGAGATTATATTGATATTTGATATGCGAAATAAAGCTGACGTTTGATTGATAAGATATTGGCTTGATGTTTTAACAAGCATGCTTTTAATTCATAAACTTAAATTATCAACCTTCATTAATTCAGTATTGTGAATTTGATGCACATGGTAGGGTTTTTTGGGAAAGATCTCTCCTTCCTTGTCCTTATCATTTTTAGCTCTCTTCACTCTGCATAATTTCATAACCTAATCTCAGATTATAACGCCTTTCTCTTATTGTCCAATTGGGATACATACAGCTAATATTTCAATCAATTAAGGATTAGTAAACCATTACTTGGAACGAGTCTGCAATTGCATCTTCATCTTTAATTCTTCTACAAGTCCACGTTAAAAAACACTTAGATTAACTACCTCTAGGTGGTTGAGTGGTTCGAGAGAGACTCTTGGATATATTACTTAAGAGATTCTGAGTTCGAGTCCTTCCTCGATTGCTAATTGGGGTAGCCACTAAAGCTTACTCGACCGATAGTGGCTACCAAAGCTTACCCGGCCGATAGTTCTAGGGTCTCGAAGAATTAGTTGAGGAGTGCGTAAACACGGATAACCCCTGTCATTTAAAAAAAAAAAAAAAAACTCTAGATTGAAAATGGACTACGAGAGTCAGGTCAGGGAGCCTGGCCCAGGATATAAAATAGGTTAATTGATTTTTATGATTTTCATTAATTAATTGACCAATCATTGAATTCAAGTCAGTTCTTGGTTTGATATTGGCCCCTTTCTTATTGCTTATCTCAACAAAATTGTTCAATTATGAAACAGATAGATAACAATTACAGTTAGGAAGTGGTCAGGTCGATCAAACTGTAGGGAAGCCTCCTCACCTGATTTCCGTCTAAATTCTATTTCAGTTCTTCCAACTCTCTCGCTTGTAACTTCAGGATCTCTCCATGCCACACAACTGGGCAAATGAGCTCAAGAAAATCACAAATGTCTGCCAGAACAAAGACTGCAACTTTAATTATGCTATAGCTTAGTAGTAACTCTTCATTTGTCTGCTAACAGTTATGAGTTTCTGGATTTCTGCCTTTTTAATTATATCTCCATTTTTAAGGAAACAAAATGCCTAAACTTTTGTCCATTAATTAGCTTAACCATACTCTTTTCTTTTCATTTCAGAACACTGTTTTGTTTTAATTTTCATTTATAGAAGTTTTATCTGATTTGTTATTATTGATTCGTATTTGGCCTATCTCTCAGTGAGACAACTATAGTTGTACGATGTTGACAAATTTGTTGTGACCGAATTATTTACTTCTTGTATTGGAGCTTGTATTTTTCTTTTATATTTAGTGTTTACATCAATGTCGGTTGTGTAAATTACAAGAAGTTGACTCTGTAGTCATCATCTATGTTCTTATCTATATCTTCTTTCATGATTCTGGATTGTATATGCTTTTTTCACTGAGATACTGTTATTGTTTTTCCTTCTAATACAGTCAGGATTAAGGTGACTGTTATCATTGAGCTTTTGCAGTAGTCCTCAATTAATGCATGCAGGGTTAAATTCTGAGATTTGTCTGCAACTGTTGGCCCTATACAAGGAAAAATAATATTGTTGTTAAATTTTCAGGTGAGGACCCGATCAGTATTAATGTTTTTAAGTGACAAATGGAAGGCAACATGTGGTATTTCTTTGTCATCAGTAGAATTTATTCAAGCAGACCCAGGTCTGTTCAATGATTGTATAAATTAAACAGTTACTCTAACTTTATCATTGATTTATTTTCCTGTGTATTTGTGCAGAGGAGTTTGTCGGTAGGTTTTGGAGTCCTTGAGCTTCATGATGAGTTTTTACTGCAAGAACATTAACTTTCTCTAGCTGGTTAGTACGACTGAATAATTTACAACAATGGTAAACTTAACTGTGTTCAATTATCTATGGATTCGTATTCATATATGACTGTTTGAAATGGATTAATTCCAAGTGCCAGCTGAATTTCACCCTGAAAGATGTGTTTCTTTCTTCTTGTGCCCCTGAAATTGAAGCAAAGGGAGACAGATTTTTTCTGTAAATGTTACGTACAACTAGAAAATGGAGTCGCATACACTGGAAAAGACATTACAGAGGCTTCATCTGAGAAAAGATGCAGCTTTGAAGCTTAACAGAAACAGACCTGAAAATGAATTAATGTAGAGTCTTCTTAATACGCAAAAAAACAAGAGGATATTAATAGTTTGGGATGCTGAAAACAATGTGCAATGGCCCTGAGCTGAGTTGTTCCTAAATCATTGTCTAAGAGTGGATGTGAAAACCAACTAGAACTGGCTGTTGCTTGGCTTTGAGTTTCACTAACTCATATAACTTAAATTATGTTGGTCTGTTTTTTTTTTTTTTTTTTTTTGATGATCGATCGTGTCCGGGCTAATATGGGCATACCTTAACTAATTCTCAGACCTTAAAGTTAATGACCGGATAAGCTTTTAGTGACCAATATCCCTCAAATCATTAGTGCTGAGCAGTTTCCTATTACTAGGTTCAAAGAAAAAGGACACTGCTTCCGAAACCCAAGAGGTGGTAGACTCCTAAAATTGGCTCAACACTAAAATATTTACTCCAACACCCTTCTTTCATCACCCATATGTTAAAGCAACTCTCATTCGTAATTAACCACTTAGCTTGTGGCTGAATGACAAGACTCTAGGTTACTCAAAGGTTTTATGTTCGAGTTACACAAAATAATCATCTACCACATTTGTAACTTATCTGATTTATTGAGTTCGTAAGGTATTCAATAGACTTCAAAGATTAGTGAGGTGTTGGTCCGGACACCCCTCTTTGGTTGCAAGGTTCCATAGAGTTACACAATCATTAAATCTTGAGAATAAACAAAAATAAACCATGATAGGGACCTATAATTTGTCTACCAATTTATAATTTGTTGGAAATTGGGTGTTAGATGTTCAAGATCTTGTGTATGATAAATCTACCAATGTAGTATATTCATTGTACGATGCTTGCTGAAATGGTTTGCCACTGCAGTTCTCGAAAATAGTTAACTAGCAGACAAGAGTTTTCATGACTGTAGTTTCTGAGATGGACATCCCTTGTTGCCACATATATCTCCCCAATTTACTCTGTAATTTAAAAAATATTATAAAACCCAAGTTGGATTGGCTATTGAAAATGAATGTCAGAGACAATAATAAACTTTATAAATCAACCAAGAACCTGATGCTAATGTTACAATGGCAAATAACCAATTTACAAAATTCCAGTTTTTCAGGGATTGAAAAAATTAAGCCAAAACAAGACAATCGACTATTCTTTCTTGCCTGTTACTTCATTGATAGATGGATGGTATGAAATTATCCACAAACTCTAGAGTCCACCATCTAACCCCAAGAGGTTGGTCTAGCGGTCAAGGAGGTTTGCTATTTTCTTTAAGTTCTTGAGTTCAAATCTTGGAGCTATCTACCACAAATAACATTATGGCTGAATAGACCTCAAATATTAGTTGAGGTGCATGCAAGCTGGCCCAGACACGTCGATTATCTTGAGGATTAACTGAGGTGCACCTCGGTTACCAAAAAAAAAAAGTCCACCATCAAATTGAATTCACCTAGTTCTCATATGAACGAAATAGAGACAACAACAGGAACAAAATATAATAGTAAAACAAATCAAACAGTAAACAAAGAAAAAATAATACGCGCGATTTACCTTGGTTCACCCAATGTAGGCTACGTCCAGTTGAGTCAATATTATTGCAATATGCCTCACCTCTCTCGTTTACAATGAATGAATTGCTCTCACACTCATAACAAGAGAAAAATATGTTTATATAATAGGTTTAAGAGATTAAACCTAGTTTTACAAGGATTCTTATTCCTAAGCCCAACCCAAAAAAGAATTAATAACTTAAAAGAAATCCTACAGCGAGACCCCCGAGTGCGTCTCCGTTACCCATTAATGCGGAAGTAGTCGACAACTCCAACATCATATGAGTGGTATAAACGTTCTCTTAGGATTAATTGTTGGAAATATTTGAAAATTACCTGGATTTTTTAATCTAATTATCGTCAATACCATATCAAATAAAGTCAAGGTATGTTAAATCGCAATGTCCCTAAGGATAAGATTCTGCCCTCTCTAGGATAATATCCTTGTGCAATATAGGCTCAAAATAGTGGCGGTCTAACCTACAGGATACAATGACTCCTTAGTTCTATAAGGGTACACTCCTAAATATGGAACCCTAAAACTGTTATAGAACAAAGTTTCACTAGTATATGGAAGAAAAAAAAATATTTTCATATGAGTAATACCTTAGAGGTAAAAATCTAAGTCTTAACACTATATGATTTATCCCTTATTTATACTAAAAAAATATAATTGTTGGCCAGTATGGGGTGTAATAAAATCAATC